GTGAGTGAATGAGTGAGTGAGTGAGTGAGTGAATGAGTGCGCGACATCGGTGGTGCTGGACTTGGGTCAGCTCTGCTGGAATGGCAGCAAAAGGGAAACTCATTTTTGAGTACAGCTAAAATGTAAACTTGCAAGTTCACTTTTTAGTGAATTATGTCATGTATAAATTTGCAGGAGGGCAAGGAATAACTCTGTGACCAACCAGAAAAAAACCTATTCTAGAAAAATAGCAGCACCACCTCTCAGGGCTGAGACACCCCTGTGAGCTGCAGCGCTCTCTGCTGGTCAACAGCAGCAGTAACTGCATCATGATCAGAGGTGTGTCACCCAGTCCCCTTCCATCTGTCCACTGGACAGGAGGGAAGCTATTCTGTCCACACAGCCTCTTTCAGCATCTGCACCCTTGTGGCCTGCTTGTGGGGAGGAAAGTTGTTGCATTAGGGAGCTGGCTTAAACCTTAGCAGCAGGAGGAACAGCTGCCCGTGACAAGGCTGCTGCCCCAGATGAACTGCTACTGCCAGGCCCGGCCATTTGTTTACAATGGAAATAAGTTGTTTTGGGTCCAACAACTATAGAATGAAGCAGGCCCTTGGGCACAGGGATCAGCAGCACACCCTAGTAGGTTAATTTCCCAAAGCATGAAACTAAGTGTCTTGTCTCACTACAAGGATGGCTGCAGCAATACAGCATTGCTGGATGCTGGGTGGCACTAGAGGGCCTCACAGAAACCAGGAGGAGATAATCTGGCCTCCAGCAAACGAACTATGCTAATGTGCTTCTCTGGGTAGAATCTTCCCAGTAACCCACATGGAAGTTGCAGCAGGACAGGGATGAAAAATACAGGGCAAGAGATCAAGTCTGCACAGTCCCAACCAACCCCACAGATACCCATGTCCAGTGACCGCACACACGGGATGGCTCCTCACAGGCAAAGGAACAGGTGAGACACACCCCTTCTCAGTACTGGTGACTGATTCAGGGAAGTCGGACTCCAGACCCTCTCTCACTCCCACTGTGTCCTGAAACCTCACCATCAGCTACAGCTGTAAGGACTGTTTCTCTTCTATGAACCTGCAAGCTTGGGCACTTCCTTAATGCAGCTGCAGGCCCACCCACAAGTCCAAGAGCCCTGGAGGGGCCTCCACATACCAATAGAGCCAGCACCCAGGTGAGTGCAGGATCCTGCAAGCCAAACTCCTCTGC